TTTTCGTATCCTCTTACCTGTTTTCCATCCCTTCTTTCTTTGTACTTGTCTTCCACAAAACACTTTAAGCCAGGAAAATAACACCTTTAAGACACAGTAGCAAAACTGACTTAGTCCTGCTCAAGTTCTCACAGAGAAATCTAGGAACAAGGTACTGGGGTTTTTTTTCCTTCCCCCTGCCCCAATCTCTGTGAAGTTCCCCCTGCCTAAATGAAATCCGTGAGGCTGCTGTAATCTGTCATTATTGTGCCTGTACTCTTCTGAGGCAGCCAGTAGTTCGAGGAAGAGGAAGGATTTCGATGGGGAGACGTGAGGTGTGTTTGAATGGAGCGAATGATACGCAGAACAAAAAACCACTGCGTTCCGTGTGTGTGTTATTCGAATGTTTGGGGTCTCCACTAAGGGTGCCACCCAGGGAGAAGGGATGGTGTTTTTCAGAGCCTCAGTCAGACTGTAATCTCTGGAACTATTTTATCATTAAAATTATGCATAGGTGTTAGATGTCTGTCCTAATGGCTGCTTCTAATTGTGATTTCAGGCAGAAGCTTTGCCCTTTAGGAGGCTCACAACAGATCAGAGCAAACATTTAGCAGCTTAAGGAGCCAGAGTCTCTCCAGCACAGACTCCAGGCCGAATTAAAGCCTTGGCTTCAGTGCTGTGTCAGTGGAGACTTTCAAATTCAGGAAATGATGAATTACAAGTTGTGCTGTGAAAGAGTACACCAAGAAAAACACCTTTATCAAGTACAACAGACCTGACTTGTAGCTATTAATTTCACATTGGTGTTGCTCAGTGCCCTATCATGAGTGGGCCACCTGAGTCTGGCCATTGGCGATTTTGCGTGTCAGAGTGGTTTAGTGCTGCCATTCCTTGATAAAAGTAAAACATCTATTGAAAATTGAGTTGATTTGAAGTTGATTGCATCTCTCAAACAGTTTTGGAAGCTGTCAACTGACTTCCTTTTCTGTTGCCTTCTCTTTTATAAATTTGATCTTACTTTGCAGGAGTCTTACTTTTAGCAATCAATTCCAGTTTTTACTTTAGAAGACAAATTGTTTTAATACCAGTAACGGTTCTGTTGTCTATCTGAAATTTTCCAGCAGAATACAATTTCTTCCCGAATGTTCATTTGTGAAACAAGCCCAGTTTTTACAGCAACATTAGTAAAAATTTACTATACCGCAGAGATGATTCCTGTTCTGTGTTATGTGGCTCAAAATCTGAAAGTTAGCTTGCCCACCACAGGAACTCTGAAGGAGCACCAGTAAAGACACAAGACTGAGCATCAGCTGCATAGGTAACCCTTTGCAGGGAGATCTTATACTATTGCAAGTTTATCTACTTAGTGCTGTACTGAGCATCGTTCAAGTGGAGATGGTCATCATTCTCTGTCTTAGAAGTATCTACAGTTTAACAGTGAAGTGCACACAGTACTTGCCCTCCGGTTCAATAAATGCACATGCAATTGATTTTTTTTAAGTAGGAGGAGCCCTGCTGACTGTAAGTTATGTTTAAGGTTATCCCTGTCTGCAAGTGTTTATACGATTGAGGCTGAAATCATCATCATCCACAGAGTAAAACTACCTGAGATGCAGTGTACCACCGAGTCCTAAGGTGGATGTGCTGGATGCTGAGGTGTTGTGCACAGGACTGCATTTGTAACTTTTTCTAGTTGTTTTCCTTAGATGTGGGAAACCGTGGATGCATTTTAGTCTTTAGGCTTTCAACCGCCTCTCTGGCTGGCTGCAGCTGTCCTCATTGGTGAGGACTGCAGAGTTGCTGGAATGGCTCATTCAAAAACCCCCAGGTGGTGGGGAGTATCTTCTGGTACTCCGTATTGTAAAAGAGGAGTCGAGCACATTTCCTATCACCACCCTCAGCTTACTCAAAGCAGCCAGGCTTGTTGCAGATGTAATTCCAGTGATATGCCAGGGCAGGATTTGACCCTTCAATTTAATAGCCTCATGTGTCTGTGAGTAATTAAAAATAATTAGTAATGTAAAGTGGAGGAGTGTGCTTATGTAATTAAAAATGCAGTGGTCTTTATGTTGCCCTGCTGTGATACCATGTTAACATCTCTTGCAGCGTTTCATGCTTTCCTTCAAAATACAGGCTTCTGAAGGTAGGTGACTGTGCTGACAATCCTAGCTTCTGGTGACAGGGCAGAGCTGTTTCTAACTTCTGCAGTTGCTGGGAAAAGGTCATGAAAATGTTGCTTGTGCATCTGCGACTCAAAGCAGGGATGGAAAGAGAAAGTTTTTTTTAAAAAGTAACATGAGCTTTCAAGCCAGCCTTGTGACTGACTTTTGACTTTCTAAGTGCCTGGGGCTGGCAATAAAAGGATTAGGTGGTGCAGGAGCCATCTGGCTCTCAAAGCAGGAGGGGCTCCCTTGCAAATTGAGAGCTGCCTTGTGAGAGAGATGTCTATATTGTCACCCAAATTTTGCCTGACTTTGGTGTATCCCCACTGCCATCCATGCATCTGCTTCCCGGCCTCACTGCCCTGAAAATACTGCTTTGTTTGCAAGTCTTGCGAAGAACATCACCTTTTGAGCCAACGAATGTGGGTGGGGTAAAAGGGCTGAAAGCAGGTATAGTATCAAAGAAAAAAAGAGGTATTGACCTGTGTCCGTTTGTGGCACCAATCAGCCTTGGGTTACACGGGGCATAAAGTGAGTATGTTTTTCCTCGTGCTTTGTGAGTGCATCTGTGTTCAGTCTTTCCCTTTCCTGTTGACATCATCAGCCACCTGTGCAGAAACAGGCAGGCAGGTGTGTGCACAGATATTCAAGGGGCGGCTTTGTAAGGCTAGTTCCATAACACTGCCATAGGGTGGGACGTATGGAAAACACGGTTGACAATACCAGTTGTGACTATCGATACCTTTGTTGTAAGCGTTCACACTGTGCGTTTGGCACAGTACAAATATATTGCTTGTGGTGTATGTTACTGATGGTGTCAAAATCCAAATTAAACACATTGTGGAGAAAGAAGAGTTTGTTTGCATCATTCCATGAAGGTGTGGAAATAAAAGGTTAAATCGTGTTTGTAACAGAGCCATTAATGAAACAATGGCCAGAGTGGCCGAGTGCATGTAGCTCCTGAGCCTCCCTGGGATGCAAAGCACCCATCTTAGATGGAAGGCAAAAGCAGCTGCTGGAGGTGGCTGTATTTATCCATAGCCCCTGTCCCGGTGCTCAAGCTGGATCAGGTCCTGTGGACACACAGTGCTAACTACCCCAGTCAGGGCAGGGCTCACCATGGTGACCAGCCACTTTTTAAAACACAAATTGTTTTCATTTTTGTTCAGTGCTGTTGACTGTGGAGGTAGGACCAGGCTGTTGTGTTTTTCTGTATGAATTTTAGCCCCTGCACCAAAGGAAGGGTTTGGAAAGTCTTTTGCCATCTGGGAAGGGTGAGTGCCAGGAAAGCGTTTGCCCATGCAGCTCTGCAATAGCTCGGTGCAGAAGGGCTGCTGCACCTACAGAGGAGTCTCCCACCTCTGATGCCGAAAATAAATTAATGAAAGGAAGAATAGCAACGTTTTGGTTTAGACGTTTTGCTTGTTAAAGGAGGGAGGTAGTAGATAATCTGTCAATGTTCTTGAAGCTACCTAATTAGCAAATCTGAGTTATCACTGGCACACAGCGTTTGTTTTATGCATAAAGGCGCTGATGGAAAAGTTTAGACTAGACATTCTTAATTAACTTTTGAGCTTGTGCTTTCCTGAAATTACTTTTGAGAAGTTAAAATTTTGGGGAGTCATTTATTTGCTAAATTGAACAAGAGGCGTGATTAAAGCCAGTTAATAAATACCAAGAGAGTCCTCTGATTTACAGTTGCTCAGGGCTTGATCTTGCCGTCATTTCTATTCTGTCAGCTGAAGAACTTCAGCTCTTATACAAACCATTGATTCTATCTACGAGATCCCACCTTCCGAACTACTTCTTGCAAAATATTAAGCACTGTACTCCAGCCCCGCAAATGACTCTGCAGGAGGGTCAACTGGTGGGTTAAAGTGGATTTTTGGGCTGATGAATTAAATGGTGTATTTACATGTGGTGTTATTTTGGTATCAAGGTTGCTGGCGTTTTGCAAGGTAGTGATTAGCACTGTCTTGAATGTTTCCAGGGATGAGGCATCTACAACCTGTCTATCAACTGTCTTGAGTAGCTTTGTGTGGCTGTGGCTGGTTTACCTCAAAGCATGGTAAAAACATAGATGACTCGGGGAACTCTGAGATGGGACAAAGAGGTTTCTCAGGGCTTCCAGGGGCAGGAACGCAGGTTTCGTGACTGAGCGGCTAGGGTTATCTGTTTTCTAAATGAAAACTGATGCGAAAAGAACTACATGCAAACTAAGGGAAACTTATTTCAGATAAGCAGATTTTTTTTTTTTTCTGTTTACAGGTGAAAATAGTTCTGTTCAGAATAGCAGCAAACAGAAGCTCTTTGAAATACAGCTTATTTAACATTTGAGGTTCCATTGGTGTACTTCTCTCCGTGTCCATAGTAAATGAATTGTCACTACACTGAAAACTACATATATTCTGCTTTTCTGATTTTGTTTTTTTTTTTCCTAAAACCATATCACATCACTGTAATCGTGTATCTTCAACATTTGGGATCATCTACAGGGACTTTAAATTCAGTTACTTAAGAAACAAAATAATCAAGCTTGTAGCTGTTGACCTGTTAGCGGCCTGTGCTTCTTTCTGTTGTTTCTTCCTGCAAATATACGAGAAATGGAAAGAGACAGCTGTTTGGATTAAATGGCTGTAAATGTTGTGTTTATGGAAATTATGTTGTGTAATTACCCCTTTATTTCCATCCTGTAGATACATTTTTATATGTTTTGAACTGCTGATGTCCTTTAAGACATTGTGTAGCCAGTTTTTAGCCTTTGTGCATTTCAGATTCGTATAATTTGTCCTTTGTTTATTTCCCTGGCATCTCTAACCATTGCTATTAAAACCCTTGTTTGGAACCTGCTCGTTTTAGATGCCAGACCAGTTTGATCAGACAGTGGTGCTTAACCAGCTGCGCTATTCTGGGATGTTGGAGACGGTCAGGATTCGGAGGGCTGGCTTCCCAGTCCGGAGGCCCTTTCAAGACTTTTATAAAAGGTAAACACACTGACTCGTGCACTTCAGATGCAAGTCACGGGTACCAAACCGACATTCCCATGTTGTGGAACAAAGTGAAAATCTAATAACTAAAAAATCATATGACAAAAATAGAACTTGTCTCTTCAATGAAATAACAAATACTTTTTGGTTGCCAGGTATAAGGTCCTTATGACAAACTTAACTCTGCCTGAAGATTTGAATGAGAAATGTGCCGTCCTACTCCGTCTGTATGACAACACAAGCACTGAATGGCAGCTTGGGAAAAATAAGGTAAAGTAATCTGACTGCACGGATTGTGGAGCTGGTGCTTATGCAAAGCCGAGGGGACAGGATTTAGCCAGCACAGCTGCAGAGAGGTAGTTGTAATGGTAATTACTTCTGGCCTTAGAAGAAGCTACGCATGCCTAGTGGTGCTCTTGAAACCCTTATAGCAACAATTAATGATTGTGCTGAGGAATTTGCTGTCTAAGGCACTTAGACACTGACTGGTGATTTCACTCTTGGAGAGACTCCACTTGAATTTTCTGCCACTGCTCACAAGCGATAGCGCTGGTGAGGATCAGAACTTAAAATGTGGTAGCTGGTTTTTATCACTTTTTAAAAGCGTTGAGCATGTGAGGTAACACTTTTATGCTGCAGGGAGCTCCACGCATACTAGTAAACCCACCTGCGTAATAACTGCTCAGTGCTTGAAATCAAGGGGAGGAAATTTAGCCAGTGTTCATGTGGCAGAGTTGAGCTTTAGGTGTGTTTGCCATCCTAGTCCAAGAGTCTTTTTCAGAGGTACGTTAGACCTCGATATGTGTCCTACCAGACAGCCTGGACTTTGCCTGGAACTTTTTTCTTCCCAAGAAAATTCAAGTTACTTTAGTTAAAAGAGTGGAATTTTAATTTGAGAAATAAAACAATGCAGGTGGTTTTGCATGCTCATTTTGCAAGTTTGGTTTTGGACAACAGCTGTGTGTAGAGCTTCCCTCCCTGTGAATTCATGCTCTTGGACTTAAGAAATGGTGTGAAAGCATTGCATGCTCAGAAGAAGATTCCCCACTGTGAGATCTGAGATTTCCTAAATATTAAAAACACCTGGTGTAAAGGACTAGACAGTGGATTACAAATATCATGCCATCACTGCCAAGGATCATCCCCCAAGCCTCTGCAGATGCCTTTCTCTTCTTTTTCCTCTGGAAAACTCCAGTTGGTGCTCCCAGGGCTTCCATAGTGGAGAGAGAATGAAAAACAGATCCAGAAGTAGAGTTTGCTGAATTATGTGTTACACTTGCAGTTTTCCTATCAATTGTTAGAATTGTGAAAAAGCTTTCTCATTACCATAAAGTAGCAAAAATATTTTGTAAAATCTGGTGGATTTCTGTGTGAAACGCCCTTCCTCCTCATCCTCTTTACCCTACAACTGCATAGTTTTGAAGGGTTTCCTCCATTGCTCTGCACACTTGGGGAATCTCAAAGATGCTATTGGGAAAGTTGATTTAATCATTTTACAGTTATTGTAAGAGACAGAATCTGAAATATTCTGATGGCACTTGAGGTCATCTTTCATCCCATTTTTGTAGACGAGGGCTTACAAATAATGCAGTGATAACTTTCAGCTGCAGAGCTAGACTGTGCTTCCCACTATACTTTCAGATGTCGTATGTTAATAGTATTTGTGCACGGACCCCGGACAGTGCTTTGGCATCTTAGGGATGTATAGTTATGAGAACCTGAAATCGTTTTAACCAGCTGCTCATGAGGGCCTCGGCAGGAGCCAGAGCTCTGTTATGACTTCCCTTACTGCAGCCTGGGCTCATCCTCCTCAGGAGCTGCTTGCACATTTGTAAGACTCTTCATAAATAGCTTATTGTAGAAGAGAACAAGAGAGCGTTGCTTTCATACTGACCATGGGATGGGGCACTGTCCTGCCCATGTTATTTAAAAGGGTAATAACAACATTGCCATGATTTAGCTTTAGCGTCCTTTTTCTCTTGTCTTTGCATCTTGAGCAGCAATGCACCTGCTCAGGAAGAGGCATTAGCCTGGCTGTAACTCGTGCTTAACATCCATGTTTATTCAGGAAGTAGCTGAATGCCTTTCTGAAGCAGAATTTTGTTGTGTTCTTAAAGCCAGTGTATGTAGAGAAAAGAAAGATTGCCCACTGAGTGAAAGAAAAGGCTTTTTACGTGATTAAAAACTTCATATAGAAAGAGCTGCCCAGTGCAACTTGGATACTGGAACTTTGGGACTTTCTGTGGGACTTTCTGTGTTCCTTAGTGTTGAGTAATTTGTGGTAAAACTTAGTCCCTTTCTAGCTACATTCAAAACTCGCAACTGTGCCACTCCTCAGGAGTGCAGCTGCTTTGGCTTTGATGATGGGATTTTTTTTTCCCCCTAAACACAGAGGGAAAAACTACCTTTTTTTCTGCTTGAACACCCCCAAAAGTCCATATATTTTTTTTTTTCCACAGCAAGAAAAAACCCAAAACGTTTCAAGGAAGCATTCTTGCCTTTAGATGCCTTTGCAGCCCCCCTCCCTTAGCAGAGCCCACACTGTCTGTGCACTTTCCTCCTCACCACGCTGCGGTCTGCAGCCTACCTCTCATCCCAGATCATCACAGTGTCACTGAACTGGATATTTCCAGCTGCTAATGTTTTTGGCAGCAGCGTGCCAGGCTGTTGCCACCTATAGCTGATAGCAGCAGACTTAGCCTTCAGAAAGGAAAGGTTGAGAAGGTCTGGAAA